GCTGTGGCTCCCTCCTACTACCCAGCATCATGAGAGTACTGTTATTGCCTATTGCTAGCCTGGAAAAAGATCAAAATTAAAAATTCAAAGTAAGGTTTCTACTGAATTCATATCACTTTTGCACCATCATTAAGTTCAAAAATTCTAAACTGAATCATGGTAAATTGAGGACGATCTATACACATCCCTGGCTCCCTTCAATACAAAATAATGAAGTCATGTTGCTCAGTACTTTTCTGATGCATTTGGAAACATGCTAAATACATGTCACTGTTCTAGGGGTTAAAAAACAGTTTAGTAAAAATGGGCAGCAGTGTGAGATTTCAGTATAAGCTTAAACTGAGAGCAAACACTTAACTAGTTCTAACATGTTTAATTCCTAATAAGTGGGTTTCTCCTTCTTTCCCTCCTGGTTCTTGGCAACATCAAAGAAACAAAGATTAAACAGGCAATAATTAATAACTGCAGTGATTTACCTCATTCTATGTTAGAAAAGTAAAGTAATTTAGTTTGTTATTTATCTGTAATTTATTTAACCAATCTCCCAATGTTTCTAAATATTTGTCATCTATCTGTTGATCTATCTAATTTACAGTTATCTAGAAAACACTTAGGATAACTTCCCAAGAGTCAGGAGGGACTGGTTTGCATGTGATCACCTCAGCAATGAAAATACTAGCATTTAGTGTTAACTAATTTCTTTGCAAATATCGATCATGGTGATTGATGGGCTCATTTCCTCTTTATAAGGAACTGTACAAGCTTCTAAGTATGTATTTGCTTAAATTTTTTTTTTAGAAACTAGATTTAGAATTCCCACAACATGCAAAGTTATAAACAACTCACCTCTTTTAAATTTGATCTAAAGTATCTAAAGGTGTGTAGAAAATGAATTCATTTCTGACAGTTTATTTTCTGCATTTCTGAACTACTGCTTATTTTTTCAAAGATTTAATATTTTAAGAAGCATAAAAATTACTGACTTATGTGCAGATGAACTGTGATGAACTGTAAAAGATACGTCCATGAAACATTAAGAGGATACCAGATAGTTCACCACATCAAAATGAGACTCAACAATACATATGTCTGTTTTTATGCCAATACCCCATTGTTCTGATTACTATAGCTCTGTAGCATTGTCTGAAGTCTGGGAGGGTTATTCCTCCAGCTCTGTTCTTTTTCTTCAGTATTGCTTCAGCAATTCTGGGTCTTTTGTGATTCCATATACATTTTAGGATCGTTTGTTCTAGTTCTGTGAAAAATGTCATGTCATTTGATAGGGACTGCATTAAATCTGCAGATTGCCTTGGGCAGTATGGCCATTTTAACAATATTGATTCTTCCAATCTGAGATCATGGGATGAATTTCTTAAATCAATGTTTTGTAGTTCCTCATGTATAAGTTTTTCACCTCCTTAGCCAGATTTATTCCTAAGTATTTTATTGTTTTGGATGCAATTTTAAAAGGGATTGTTTCTTTATTTTCTTTTCCTGCTATTTCATTGTTAGTGAAAAGAAATGCAACTGATTTCTGTATGTTAATCTTGTATCTTGCTACCTTGCCAAATTCTTTTATCAGCTCTAGTAGTTTTTATGTGGAGCTTATAGGGTTTTCTATACACCAGTATCATGTCATCTGCATATAGTGACAATTTTACCTCTTCTCTTCCAATTTGTATTTGTATCCTTTTTATTTCTTTTTCTTGCCTGATTGCTGTGGCTAGGACTTCCAAGAATACGTTGAATAGAAAATGGACATATGGCTCAATGGAACAGAACAGAGGGCCCAGAAATAAACCCACAGAACTATGGTCAATTAATCTCTGACAAAGGAGACAAGAATATACAGTGGAGGAAAGACAGTCTCTTCAGCAAGTGGTGCTGGGAAAACTGGACAGCAGCATGTAAATCAATGAAGTTAGAACACTCCCTCACACCATACACAAAAATAAACTCAAAATGGTTTAAAGGCTTAAATATAAGACAAGACACAATAAACCTCCTAGAAGAAAACACAGGCAAAACATTCTCTGACATAAATCTTAGCAATGTTCTCCTAGGGCAGCCTACTCAGGCAATATAAATAAAAGCAAAAATTAACAAATGGGACCTAATTAAACTTGTATGCTTTTGCACAGCAAAGGAAACCATAAGCAAAACAAAAAGACAACCTATGGAATGGGAGAAAATATTTGCGAATGATGCAACTGACAAGGTTTAACTTCCAGAATATATAAACAGCTCATATAACTTAATAACAAAAAAACAGCTAAATACAAAAATGGGCAGAAGACCTAAACAAGCAATTCTCCAGTGAAGACATACAAATGGACAATAGGCACATGGGAAAATGCTCAATATCACTAATTATCAGAGCAATGCAAATCAAAACTACAGTGAGGTTATCACCTTACACCACTCAGGATGGCCATCATTCAAAAGTTCACAAGTGATAAATTCAGGAGAAATGTAGAAAAGGGAACTACACTGTTGGTGGGAAAGTAGTCTGGTGCATCCGTTAGGGAAAACAGTATGGAGATTCCTCAAAAAGCTAAAAATAGACTTACCATATGATCAGCAATCCCACTCCTGGGCATATCTGGAGGGAACTCTAATTTGAAAAGATACGTGCATCTCAATGTTTTTAGCAGCAGTATGTACAACAGCCAAGACATGAAAGTAACCTAAATGTCCATTGACAGATGACTGGATAGAGAAGCTGTGGTAGATTTATGCAAAGGAATACTACTCAGCCATTAAAAAGGAAGAATGCCATTTGCAGCAACATGGATGGACCTGGAGATTGTCATACCAAGTGAAGTAAGCCAGAAAGACAAAGAAAAATACCATATGATATCACTCATAGGTGGAATCAAAAAAGGGAAAAAAGAGGACACTAATGAGCTCTTCTGTGAAACAGAAACAGACTTGCAGACATAGTAAACAATCTTACGGTTACCAGTAGGGAAACAGG